TCTCTCTTTACAGTTGACTTTATATTGACTAAAGCCTGTGCTACTCTAGTGTTAAGGCTATGAGCGGCTGGAACTCTGAACCCACTTACAAGAACGAGGAGGTTGCATAGAGGAATAAGAATATTGTAATAATGGGCCTTCACCCCTTTATAAGAATGATAGGGGCCAACCAAATAGATCGTTAAAAAAAAAAAAAAAAAAAAAACTAGATAGGATCGAGAGGGGGCTGGGTCTAGAACGGTCGGACAGAACCTAATCCCGGATATGGTAAATGAAGAGCTATGGCTCTACATTTTTGTTTAGTTTAATAATCTGGTCTGAGAACTACGGAGCTCTAAAACTAGACTTGGGGGGCTGAGACTGCTAACCTTAATTCTGAAGGATTGCTCTAGTGTGGCACTAGCAAAAGGGACTGATTACTAATACTAACGGCCGATGTCTGTGTTTCTCCCAAGTCAAGTTTCGCATGGTCTGTATGAAGTAGTCACTCGACCAGTAACATAAGACAGTTTTTGACAATGATCTATAAATCACAACGGTCACATCGTTTTGTGCCTGAAAGAATCACATGCTAGACACTAATGTCATTTTAAACTCAACCTTTTGCGCCTAAATTTCCGAGGAGTAAGATTAAATCGAGTTTGTAGGACATTCCTAACATAACTTCTCCGCATTTTGGAATCCGGGGAGGAGCACACCACGTTCTCCGGCACAACTCCGGTGAGAGCGGACAGCGGACAAGTCCAGGATCAAGATGCACTCCCGAATCGGTCGAGTTGGCGGAGTGGCAATTAGTCTATTTCTGAACATCAAATCAACCGGCGACGGTACAGAGGCACCGCCCACCGTGGATACGAGCTTTAATCTCCAGTACCTATGTGCGACCGCAGTCTCAATACGTTTCTAGAGTTCCGGACATCCCCTTCGTCAGGCCACATTTTGAAATTCGTAGCCCATGACGAAACGACCACTCGTGAACTTTGCAGATGCACTGCAACCAAGGAAAATAGTCTGCCTAGCAATCCCCAGGAACATGCCAGTCTAAAGTTTCAGTGGTATTCGGTGTGTCAGTGCAAGATTCCAGTGATTCTCGGTGTGCCGAGTGCGGGGTTTCCCCCAACTCTAACACCTCGTATTATCGGTGTCGGAGAGCCAGAGTCAGAAGGTTCCGAGCTTTTGATCATTAGGAGATGATGCGTACATGGAGATGACGACCGATGCGTTGTATGTTATGAAAAATCCGAGTCCGTGGGGTGGAGGATTGCGTGGTGGAAAAGAATATAAAATGTCTGCCATGCCTCCCCAGGCCCGTATATTTCAAATGGCACGGCAAACACATCGTTTCCAAACACCGATTCTTGATATTATCACTTGAACCTCAACTATTACTTAAAATCTAGCAATAACTTGCTTCAGCACTTCAAAATGGTTAACAAAGACTCCCAAGCCAACATGGTCAACAACGTTCCCGTCAACGCCATCGACCCGTATGCTCTGGTAGAGGCGCTCACCGGATTCAAGCTTGACAGACGTCCGATGACTTCGACCTCCGCTGCCTCTGATCTGCAGGCGGATGACTACGATGACCTTGCCGAGATGAGGCACGACTCCCTGCTCTCCGACATGAGCGGCATCAAGCCTGATGAGCCACCCAAGCATATTCACGTCGGCTGCATCAACCCCTATGCTCTTGTTGAAGCCGTCATTGGCCGAAAGATTGACAAATGCTCGGTCTCCTCGGCGCGGATCATCTCCGATGTTCTGCAGACCGACTACGATGAGCTTTTCGACATGAAGCACAACTCGGTGCTCCACGCCGGACTCAAACTGAATAAGGATGAACGAAGAGCTGAAGAGCTGACCGACAAAGATATCAAGATCTTGAATGAGGATGATCTCTCCACTCCCGACCTCTCGGGCGTCCGGAAGCCAGAGGATCTCGAGAAACTCGGCATGAAGGATATTCGCCAGGCCCACGTCAAGATGGCTCGTATGCAGAACGGCAAGGTTTGCCTCGTGCTGCATGCTCATGAATTGGGCAAGACGGTGTCCAACCGCGACGTGACCATGACCGTCAACGAACTGACACTTCCGTTCAGGAAGGAGAAGGGACCTTGGACGCCTCCAAACACCTCGTGGCAGGACATGTACAAGGGCCTCTTCCAGGGCATGAAAAGGCGCATGATGACGGAGACGGACGCGTTCCAAATGGTACGCCACTTCCATCCCGGCGCCTGCATGAAGAACAAGTTCAACGACCCCGTCCAGGGAGCACTTAGCAACAGTTGGCTGATCGCTGCCATTCATTCCGTGTTCTGGGCCGACCCTTCGTCCATCAACCGCTCCACCCATATCTCGGAGCACGTCATGCGATATGGGGACCGGGAGGAAAAGAAGCGAATCTTCTCCGTCAAGTTCCACGACAAGGGCGGAGCTAACAACGCGCCCACCGCCACCGTGGAGGTCAACTACGAGATCCCAATCAACAACTCGGACAACGAGCCTGTGTACTGCCGGGCGAGCGATGAGTCCGAGATTTGGCCCTCGCTGTACGAAAAGGCCTTTGCCAAGTGGATCACCGGCACCTCGTCCAACCATCCGGATCTCACCCAGACCCACAACGGCGACCCTATCAAGGCCATGGCGCAGATCAACGGCAAGAGCCCGAAGTATTACATGACCGAGCGTCACCATGCTAATGAGCTTGCCGGACTGGTCCGGCGTAATTCCGTCAACTTCAAGACCATCAACCCCATGGCTGCCTACACTTACGCATCCGGCAACAGGTACCGAGGATGCAACCTCGTCGCTAACCACGCCTATTCGGTCCTGGGCTGGGCCAGTTGCGCCGAGCACCAATATATCATTCTGCGCAACCCATGGGGTGTTACCGAGCCGGCCGGCATAACCAGCTACCCAGGTCTCGTCCCTGAAGTCAAGTCGGAGTTTTGGCCCCCAGCTCCTCTCCTCGACCGCGGTGGCGTGTTGGCTCTTGAGGCTTCGGCCTTCAAGGAGTATTTCGCCTGTATCGGCGTGGCGAAATAATCTGGAAGTCTTTAGGGCGGAACATGGAGGACGGCGCGGCTGAGCCATTCCCTTTCGTTCATGATAGTGTGTCACTCTTTAGGTCTGGAGACTACAAGGTTGCTCAGATGGTTTTACTCTCCGGATTCAACTCTAGGCCCGCTGGTGTTTGCAATGGTCTGCAAAATGTTCCACCCATCCCATCCCTCTACTTCTGTGCGCAAGTCAAATAACCTCATCAAAGTGTACCAATCAGACAGAATAGAATTGCGTGTAGAATAAACAGAGTGATGAGATCAAACTTCATCGATATTTGCGGCGGCATCATCTATCACCGACTGTGGATACGATTCTCTTCTCCTGAGCTTCTCGTAGGGCAGCGTTTGTGCGCTGTCGCCTTGCCTGGATGTCAAATAGAAACTTCCAAGGACGAGAAAGTCCGCCAGAGATACTACGACGAGATTCTCCAGCTAAGTTTCCGCCAGAAATAAAGCATATGACCGGGCTACGAGGTGACCATGAAGTCTGCAGCGTATCGGAAGATCCATATGTACAAGTGGAGATCGAGCAGCGAAGCACAATGCGGTCTATTATGGTCGGCATCACTCTGGAGTCTGGACTGACTGGGCCGTAACGCATGCTCGACATGAAGTCCATTGATGAGAGAAAATGGGAGCTTGCGATTGATGGCCGGTCTCCTTGTTCAGCCCCAGCCTGGTGCAGCTGAGGTACATGGGTGTGCTCAGACACCATTCACGATTGGACAAATATGGCAGCCAATTAATTCTATTACGTGTCATATTTGAAGGAAGCACCTAACGTTGGCAATCTGTCACACGCATCATCTCCGGGACACGATGTCCAAACCAATTCTCAGGAGGGGCTTCATATTGGCACAAAATTATGTCTTGGACAGGGTGGGTCGCATCTCTGGATCTCATGGTCCTTCGAATGACTCAGGTCGCCACCTCTGTACTCCCTTCACATCCTTGAGCGATTTAGAGATCCCTACCTCGATAGCGTGCCCTGTGGAGTGTGGATGATATCCAAGTATTGCCAACCTTTGCTTAAGCAATACGGGACTAATATTGTAACATTACCGACGATGGTTAGTCACTTGAGTGCCGAAATTTCAGGGCTTCCAAACAGGGATAGAAGACAAGGAGCTCATGGACTGGGGCTGAAGTTACGCTGAAATGGTGTGGTGGTCAAGGAGGGTGGGAAAAGCAAGCAAGTTGCCCTGGCAAGGGGGTCCACCCAGACCATGTGAGCAGGCTGAACGTGTTGCATTATCATCACCATGACCAGGCTGCCATGTCACGGAATGTCGCGGAATATCGGTGATCAATTGTTTCCCAATCTGTGTGCTGCCCCCTACCCGTATTGGTGAATTCATACAACAGGTGGCTGCGAACAAGGCCCACGGCGGATAAGGTCGCCTCTCTATTGGGTTGACTGTACCGTCCTGCCTTCACGGGGATGCGCCACGGAGATGAATTTTACGATCAGCTTTAATGAATTCGGTCCAATCTCCATGCTGTGCCACCCGCAGCTTCATGGCAAGCAGGCTGTGGAGTCCAGTGGGGAGATGGCTCCCCCACGTAGGTGTATGAGGCACCGAGCTGGATATAGGAGGAGTCAGGGCCATCCAGCCGATCGAGCGAGCCTGTACCTAGGCTTACCGGATCGGAAAGGATTATAAATAGGATGGTTCTGGGCCGTGAGGTTAGATCGGCCTTGGGTTTCTGTCTCGTTGCTGATTTATACAATAACCCAGAGTCATTCGCCTTCAGTTGACATTTCCTCGCTCTATCCTGCACCCCTTTCTCCCAACCAGTCTTCTCAGCAAGTAGTGATTTGAAAGGCGAGCTTGAACACCATGGCTTTCGCCCAAAGAATCTGCGTGGATTTATTCGCTAAATTATCCTCCTTCAACAGTGCTCTTGGTACCCACGAGTCGAAACGATTAAGATCCAATGGATTACACGTATGGAACGAACCCACACCAGGTGGTTAGCAGCTGCCAATGCCACTGGGCGTGCGCGGGCGAGAGGGCTGGACCCTCGCGAAAATCGCGGGCCCAGAGATCCCAACTTCAGAAATTCGATGACCTAACTTATCTGGACGAGTTTAAATATGATCCTCTGACGGGATCCCAGAAGAGAATTCGTCTGCTAAGGCTCCAGAGCGGAGTCCCATACGGGCCTGAAATCCGCGTCGAGCTTATCGAGGCCGACTACGACAACACCTTCCATATTGCAACTAAAATCAACAAGCAAGCACCGTCACCATCTAGAAACACGGAAGGGGAAGAAAATGAAGCAGGTGAGGCTGAGAGCGCAGACGCTGGACAACACGATGAGGAAGACGAAGACTTCAAGAAGCGTGAGAAGGAGTTGAGAAGTGTCCTGGATGTTGAGGAGAGATACGAGGCCGTCTCGTGGTGCTGGGGAGACGTCAACGAGGAATACGCTGTGCAGATTAAGAAAGAGAACGGGAAAACCCACAAAAAAAAGAGTCAGGAGAGAACTGGCACTTGCGCTGAAATACCTTCGACTCCCCGATCGAGATAGGACGCTTTGGATCGACTCAATTTGTATCGATCAGAGCAACGCCGAAGAGCGCAACCACCAGGTGCAGATGATGTCAAGAATTTACACTCGGGCGTCGGAGGTATGCATCTGGCTTGGGGAAGACACGGACGAGAGCAAGCTAGCGATCGACTTCATCCATTCAGAGATATCAGTGCTTAAGGATTTCGACTCAATATGCTCCGATAAACGATACACGGAAAAGTGGCGAGCCCTCATGATGCTCATGCAACGAGATTGGTTTTCCCGCCGCTGGGTTGTCCAGGAAATCGCTTTGGCAAGCAAAGCCAGAGTCTACTGCGGACCAGACTCCATCTCCTGGAAGGAGTTCGCTGTCGCCGTTGAGCTTTTCGTCGAGGTTGAAACAGCCACTCACCGCCTGTCCGAGATTATGAAGAAGGACGAAGAATTCGAGCACGTTCCTGGTTGGTTCGAGCACGTCTCAGAACTAGGCGCCAGTTTGCTGGTGCAAGCAACGGGGAAGGTCTTTCGAGCGCAAAGGACTCCACTCGACGACGACGACGCATACGACCTTGACGAGAACGCCGCACGGGAGCGAAATTTGCAGCATCTTCGAAGTAACCTCAAGAGGATTCAGACGATCGACCCTCTCGATAGAAGAAGCCTCCTTAGCCTGGAATACCTGGTCTCCACAATGTCTATCTTCAATACGACGGAGCCGCGCGATACTGTTTACTCTCTCCTTGCCATCTCGAGAGACGCGGCGCCATTCGCCAAGACTTCAGTTACGGATAATGATCGGTCGCTTCGTTTAATGACTCTATGCGGCGTTTTCCTAGAGGAGAAGCCTTTCCTTGTTGACTATAATCGCCCTTATTCGGATGTGTGTCGAGACTTTGTCGAATTCGTAATTCACCGAAAAGCCAGACTTGATCCTGTCCAGGCCTTGGATATCCTCTGTCGGCCTTGGGCATTGGAGCCTAAGGCTGGGGGTTCTATCAACGACGGGGTCAAGAAAAAGCGTGAAGGAATACGCTTGGAGAGACAAAAACCGGAGAAAGGGAAACAAAAGAAGAAGATAAAAATAGTCACTCCATCGGATGGCCTGCAACCCCCTGAACCCCTTGAGAGGACACCAACTATTCAAGAGATTAGGGCGAAGCATGTCACGCCCGACACGGAACACTTGGCCAAAATGAAGTCTATTCCATTGCCTTCATGGGTGGCCCGGGCCTCTCAAGCTCCATTCAGCCATTATCATCATCCAGGCATGCATATTCTGAAGACTGGCCGGGCAAACGCGGATCCGTTAGTGCGGCAACCTGCGGACGGCCACAGAACTTACAGCGCAGCTCAGACGGAGAAGCTGGATTTGAAAGACATCAAGTTTCGCAAACGACCTATGCTAGGCCATTACAGCCTGTATGTAAAGGGCTTCGAACTGGACACGGTTAAGGAGGTTCGGGATGCCTCCCAGGGCGGCAATATCCCAAGGTCATGGCTTGACTTGGGAGGCTGGGAAGAGCCCTACAACAAAGATCCACCCGACCAATTTTGGAGAACACTCGTAGCCGACCGAGGCCGCGACAACAGAAATCCACCCTATTACTACGCTAGAGCGTGTAAGGAGCCGGTACACAAAGGCGGTATCTCAAGCAGCCGAGTCAACACTGATGCCCTGATCAACAATGAGCAGAACTCCATCGTGGCTGAGTTCTGTCGGCGGTTACAAGCCGTCACTTGGAATCGCCGTCTATTCCGTACTAACGGCGGGAGACTTGGGCTTGCAAGTCGAGTGGAGCCCGGCGATGTGGTCTGTATCCTCTATGGATGCACAGTCCCTGTCGTCCTTAAGAAAGAGACCAAGACGGAAATAGAAGTGCAACAAGAGATGTTTGAGGATTGCTTCGCTAACCTGATCTCTTGTATCCGAAGATGTGAGACGATTTTCGAACGCCAAGAACGATATGGGTGGAAGTCGAAAAGATTCCAGGAGAAGCTTCGGAAGGAATTAGAGAAGCAATGCGAGAGGGAGGGGATCTCGAAAACCGAATGGGAAACAAAAAGGGAAGAGTACAAAAAGCAGTTAGACGATGCCCGAGAAAAAGTCAACAGTTTCATGAAGAAAGAGGCAATGGAGAAGGAAAAGGACTGGGAGGACAAGAAGAAGAAAGAGTTAGAGGAAAATCAGGAGGGATTAATAGAGAACAAGAAAGAGGAGGAAGAGTTGGAAGAAAGCAAGGAGGAAGAGAAGGGGAGAGGATTGGAGGAAAAGAGAGAAGATGTATGGGAGAAAAAGAAAGAGGAAGAGGATGAGGAGGAGGAGAGAGGAGAAGAGCTAGAAGATGAGGAGAAGACAGATTTTGAGGAAAGGGAGGAGGAAGAGGAGGGAAAAGAGCAGGGGAAATACGAGGAGGAAAAGAAGGAGGAAAAGAAGAAGGAAAAGAGGGAAGGAGGGATGGGAGAAGAGAAGGAAGAAAAGAGAGAAGAGAAGAGAGAAGAGAAGAGAGAAGAAAGTAAGGAGGTAGCTATTGAGGAAGATGAGGAGGGAGCTCCAGTGGAGAAGAAGGAGCAGTATTACTAATTGTTCAAAGGTGAATGTTATCTTCATGGGATGATGGATGGAGAGGCCTTGCGTGAGAGATTCTATGAGAAGATTCAGGACCAGGTCTTTGAGTTAAGGTGATGGGCATGATATTCTTTTGGTTATGAGCTCGAGCATTGTTCCGATTCCAGATAGGTGTTCTTCCCCGGAGGAAGAAGTTGACCCAGAGTCTGCGGCAACCGGAGAAGAGTCCATTTCTTGCCCCTGCCATTTGCTATGTAGCCTGTGTCTTACAAGTTACCGCCGTAATCCCATCTGAAATTTCCATTCCTTTGGGGGATCCTTTGTCTGTTCCTCCTATTTTATTGTTCCCGATTGATCAACCGATCCACCGCGTGTCAATTCCTGCCGGAGTTTTCAACACTCTCTGTTCCAGTTCTAATGTCAAGCAGTAAATCCTGCTTCTATGAACCTGAAGTATCAGGCAGCAATTTCGGAAATATGAGCGTTGCTCGCATGAAGCTCAGTTCCTCGCATCAACCTCAATTCATAACCAGTCGTTTCTGAAATATTTCTTCTCTGGAGTTTACCACCATCACCATCACCTCCATCACCGCACGAGAAACGAGAATTGAAGATAGTTTTTAATTTATTGGATATCTGCCTCCGCTTTTTTGCTCCAGTTGGCTACTCTACATCAAAGATGGGATACTGCGACGAGATTCTCAGGGCTAATAATGAGAGTGAGCACCAACACTTCATAGGCAAACTCCAGGCTGCAAGAGATGACATCGTGGCCTTCGTGAACCTCCTCTTGGGATGAGGGGAAGCCGGGCAATATGACCACTGGCTAAAAGGCTCGTTCAATATCGGCTACGTTATTAAGCGCCCTGAGGGAGGCAGTGATGACAGCAGACTAAGCGCAGTGTTCATTCGATTCCCCATTCCCGGTAGGACTTATTCGCCATGGAGTTTTGAGAAGGTCAAGAACGAGGTGATGGTTCTTGAGTACCTTCGGCAGGATACTACCATTCCCGTTCCCCGAGTACACTCATGGGGTTCGGCTGAGGACGGCCCACAGCAATTGGGGCCGTTTATAGTAATGGATTTCATGGACGGGGTTTGCTTAGATGATCTTCTGAAGAAACCGACCGAGAGTGATCGGGATCCGTTGATACTCGATCCAGATATCGACCCAGAAGAAGCTCGTCCGCATTTACAGCCAGATTGCAAATTATGTGCTCCAGCTCTCGCGGCTGAAATTTCCCCGCATTGGCGTGATTTCTAATACCTCGGAGCAGTCGGCCGTCACGGTACGGCCCCTGACTTACGATATGAACGAATTCATAGCTGATAATGGAGTCCCGGCCAGCAAGCTCCCCTCCGAATCTTTCAATAGCGCCAGTGAATACTTCAACTAGCGGGTAGAGGAGTTGTGGGCTCATCTCTGCACTCAGCGGAACATTTGCGAGACCAAGGAAGAGGTCCATCAAAGTCTTGCAGCCCGCTGCGGCCTCGCAGAACTGATCCCGAAGTACTGCATCGACAAGGATCTCTCTTTTAGGCTCTTTAGCGACGACTTCGGCCCGTTCAATACGCTCGCCGACCCCGAGACGCTCTAGATCACCTCTGTACTCGACTTCGAATTCACCAATACCATGTCGGCCCAGTACCTTTACGATGTGCCCTCTTGGCTGTTGTTAGCGTCGCCGCACTGCTGGCTTGAGCGTGACGGTAAGGCTGGCTTTGACGAACTCTTCATACCCAAGATGGAGCTTTTCATCCGCGAGGTAGAAAAAGTGGAGTCAGAACACCCGCCTCTGGATAAGGAGGAGCCTCTGCACCACATGTCCGTTTTGATGTGCGAGTCATGGAGCAGCGGGCGTTTCTGGTTTAACTATGCGATGAGGACCAGTATCGATGCTGATGTCGTCTACTGGAAGGCACTAAACGACGGAACGGGCCAGGGCCTGTCAGATGAGGAGCCAAAACAGCTAATTGATATGAAAATGAAACAGTTTGATGCATACAAGAAGGAGAAGGAAAACGATCCTCGGTTTAGATAGAGGAAGCGAGCATGTCTTGCTAAGCACATTTCTCAGTTGGATACGGGGAGCGTTCCAACTCCCACAGATGAGCTCAAGGAAAGGATCGTATGTCGGTAAATTGATAAAATGACTTTCACGAATACATCATGTCAGGAAAGGGAGCGCTATGTAGTCCATCAGAGCGGTCCAACCATCTTGGCCCACACTTCAAGGAGTACAAGGATTGCCATACATGTGGCAAGGGCTTCGATTATTACCCGCATCATTGTCCACCGCTCGCCCTCGTCAATGCGCCGCACCATAGGCAACCCGACGACGAAGTAGGAGGCGTACCCGAAAGAGCCTACTGCCAGCATGCGCTCATGCTTATCATACGCAAAGAGTCCCGTCATGAAGCTGTTATCCATGAAGAACGTCTCGGCAAAGGCAACAGTGTATGAGAGCCCAAGCAAGATCAAAACATGCCAAGGAAATGTTGGCTGAACTAGTCGCAAGATTTTGCGTTCGACGACCACCAGGGCCGTGTAATAGGTCATGAAGTACGCGTGGGTAAGCGGATACATGAAAATAGGCACCCTTTGCCCGCTTTGTCCAAGGACATGCGAGTCAAATGTCCACTGGACGTCAAACGCGTATCGCATGCCCATGAGGTCGAAAAAGTAGTGGGTCCCGAAGTATGTGCCGAAAGTGACAACAATAGCGATCCAGACATTGAGTTTGAACCAGTAGCATTGTGACCATGGTAGGTCCTTGTCAGGACGACTAGATGATAACGCCGGGAGCAATACCGCTGGCGCCGCCAGAGAAACCGAAAGGAGAAGGAGATCATTTTCGTTGAGGTGCTGAATCAGACCAGTAACCATCACCAAACCGACGACGCTCATCCAGAAGACGCTCTGGGTCAAAATAATCTGCTCGGTCCACGCTTTGTCCGGGCTCACTGAGAAAAAGTGGGAAGGTCGAGGCGAGACATTGCCATTGACGCTTTTGCCTTGGAATCTGGACTCCATTTACGCCGCGGGAGAAACGCAATATGTGAGTGAGCGGCGAGCGGGTGTGGGTTTGTGATTCGCGACGCAGGTTGGCCTTCTCCTCTCAAGTTCGGTCTGAGAGCACTGAGGTCAAAGCAGGCTGGGCTCACGTGAATCGATTATTAAGTGTCTTCCCCGCTTAGTCATACGTTTAATACAATTGATCCTGGATTTCCGACGTTCAACCAAAAAGCATCCCTCACCCGGTTTTCTTAATCCCGGTGTCTCTATCTAGCTCCAAGAGGATGTCCTCCGGACACAACATCCTCGACATGCTTTCCTGAACCTTGTATTTAATGACCCCATCCTCACTGTACGCTACGCTCATGGTCTTCTCCGGACTCAGCCTATACTCCGGCATGACCTGAAGCCTTTCCTTCATCCACTTCCATCCGGCTCCTCTACTGCTCGGCTCTTTCGTGGCCCACCCGTCTAAGGCTGGTGGGTCGTATTCTTTGAGCTTGCTCTTCCGAATTCGCATTATTGGGTGAAATGACTCGTTCGTTGGGCCTGTGGAGCCATCTCCTGGGTCGCGTAGGTAGTCGCCGGGTGTGCGGTCCTGTCTGCCGAGGAGCGCGAAGAAGGCGCCCTGCAGGCCGGCAAAGTTGTCAACGATGGGGCCGCAACCCCACCCGTTAGTCAAGTGGCCCCTGCTATTGACTCTGTTGAGGGCGCGACGGTGCTCTTCGATCAGACTGGCGATACTAGCTTGGTCAAAGGTGAGCATGCCCGAGAGGTTATCCACCTTAACCCCAGTGAAAGCGGAGAGTGTGGTCAGCGTCGAGAATCGATTTAGCTAGAAGGGTCGCGGTATTCGGTAAACTTACCATCCACGCAAATGTATTATAGCCGATCTCTTCATGGTCGCCGAATGTACGAGGCTGTTCTGCCTGGCCACCAATGTTACCGTGGACGCCAGGGAACCAACACTGTTGCAGGTCTTTGGTAGGACCATCTTCGGTCTTGTGCCATAGTGTTGGGGGAAAGGTTAATCGTTTTTCGTCGAGCGCCAAGGCTTGAAATGCGTATTCTAAATCTAGCGGACGCAGGTTTTAGCTCTAGCACTCCGCAAGTATCTTTCACCAACTATACTGACATTTGGAAACCCTTGTGTTATGGAACGAGTACTGCTTGTTGATTGGAATGCCAACCTTGGTCGCCAGGTTCACCAGCGGCCAGTCGGGAACTCCCTGATTAACACAATGTCAGTTCGGCTCAAGAGTAAGACCATTCGATTGATGGGAATTTGTGCAACATACCAGTGCTCCTACGGTGTCCCAAACCCCAATCACCTTGATGGTGACATCTGTGAGGCCCAACTCCTCCTTGTTGTCCAAATACCACTCTGACTTTCTGAACGGCACACCGCCTATATTTTCCCGGTACGCCTTCCACATCTCTGGGAATCTAGACATTTTGATGGGAGCGAGGACCCCAATGTCGGAAACAAGGCCGGCGACCGAGCGGACCGTGAAGGCGCCGCGTGAGAACCCAAAGAAAAAGAGCTCATCCCCAGGTTCGTAATTGTTGGATATGAAATCGTAGATCTCGGTCACGTCACCGTCGATACCTAAGCCGAGGGCGCCTGTAGAGCGAAACACCCGTCAACGACCGAGCGTCTTCCCCTCCTCCGCTTAGCGCTTACCTACCGAAAATAGCTTTCTGAAATGGGAGATCCCCAGATCCCAAACCAGAGTGGTACAGGACGAGCTGCTTAACAAGATTATTGTGGGCATCAATGCCAGTCTTCGAGATTGCTCGCGCAATCTTGGCCACGTTGGAAGGCACTGACTTGTCGCCTTCGTCCGACGACAGCCATGTGCCATCCGAGCAAAGGATTATACGCTTGTAGCTTGCGAGTTTCGGCGCCATGTTGTGCTATGTAGGTGTGACCAAAGTCCTCAGAAGAAAAGTGAAAGAGTAGCATGAAAATTTACAAAAATTATCATCTACAACATCACCTTTTTATTCCCTCCCTTCCCGACATGTTCGATGAAGGGATTTCAACAGATGTTAAACACATGTTGAATATGGATATAGATCGATGTCACGATATCGTATCCCTTGACAGTGATTTGACGTCTGGCGGTGTGACTGGTGAGACTCTTCAAACTCAGAGTCCAAACCTTGAAGTCAGCCACAGTCTTTATTTGAACATCCCGGGTTATTAATAGCACTATATTTAAGCTTAAGGTAAAGCTCATTGAGAAACTCATGGGCGATTTTACGTTTAGACAAAGTTTCTGATTTGCAAGTGAAAATACAATACACTTTTTGGCATCCGCGGAGTTGATCCTTCGGAAGCAAAATGGTGGTTTGTAAGAATCCTCGTAGTGTATGCCGAAATCCCAAGTCTATCGACGCTTTGAATACGCCATACCGGTTCTTGGTCTAGACGAAGCACATGCAAAGCACTGCTGTGGTTGTCTCGGTGCTGGGGTCTAGCCTTGATCAGATGTTGCGCCTTCTACGACAAGCTTACGAGACTTATGATATTGATGACATACCAGTATTTTCTGCTAATGCCGATTAAGCAGAATAACTGAAAAACGTGTCTGCGGATACACTTCTAATGAGACAATCATCGATTAAAAACGCCTATGCTGCTTGGGGACTCCGACACATGAAGTAATATTAATAGCTTGGTTCTGTTCGTCCCCCCGGAGTCTTCCCTTTTCATTTTTCGTCCTCACGGTGTTACGCCACGACTAGATCATCCATTGATTTATTTCTCATCCTCTTATCTTACAAGTACAAACCAATCATGCCTACCAGAACACAGATGAACGGGAATCCAGACTCCCAGGAGCAATCCAACATTGTGAGGATTCTGTCTGAAGCCCGACAGGATCTCGTCAGTCAGAGTAATCGGATCTTGCCTGACCTTACTCTCCTCCAAGACCTCTACAAGACGTTTCTGGCTAGTGGTATTATCGACGACCGCAAGTATCTTGTATGTATTCCTCTCTTCATATCACTCGGCATGCAAAACACACACGTACAATACAGGCATTCGCGTAGAAAGACGATTTCAACGTGAGCATTGATGTACTGACCTCATGGACTAGGTTGAGAAAATCATCCAGCTAGCAGTGTCGCTTCCCAATGGTTCAACAATCCGCAATGACCTGAGCGGAAGTTTTATCAATACGCTCTGGACCTCGCTTCAACACCCTCCAATATCTTACCTGGGTAACGAATTCAGGTTTCGCACGGCTGATGGCTCCAACAATGTAGGTTTACTCAAAGTCGACTCCAATCTTAGCGGTGAACTGCGAGATGAGCTAACCTATATCTTATAGAATATCATGTACCCATGGCTGGGTGCTTCTGGGAGTCACTACGCGCGGACAGTGACGCCGAAGAGTGTCCAGCCATCATCTCGGCCCGACCCCTCCCTAATTTTTGACTGTAAGTCTTGATGCAGGGCTTCAAGTTCAATGGGTAATGAAAAATAGAACAATAATACTAAATTACTCTAGCTCTGCTGGCTCGAAATGGACCCGCCAAGGAGCATCCTACTAAGGTCTCCAGCTCACTGTTCTATCTCGCCACGGTCATCATCCACGGTATGACCTAGTGGTGACGTTCCAATCTTGCCATCTACTCTAACACCCAAGACAGATCTTTTCGTGACTGATGAGAGCGACGTCACTAAACTGAAGAGCTCGTCATACTTGGACCTTGGACCTCTTTATGGCCACAACCAAGAACAGCAAAATCTTGTCCGCACGTTTAAAGACGGCTTGCTGAAAAAGGACACATTCTCTGAACAGAGACTCCTGAGCCAACCACCTGGGGTGTGTGCTCTAGTCGTTGCGTTCAATCGATTCCACAACTACGTTGTCGGTGAGATAGCATCTATCAACGAAGGTGACCGATTCAGCATTCCAACAGGAATTTCGACGGAAGATCCAGCTTACGCGGAGGCATTGAAGAAACGTGACGAGGAATTGTTCCAGACAGGCAGACTGTAATATCCTTCCCTCCTTCCATACCTCACCGATAGCAGACCAGTCTAGTGTGGGTTGGCAGTTCGATGTACTGACCATGAGAAGTGTTACGTGTGGCCTCTACGTCAACATGATTCTCAACGACTACCTTAGAACCATCCTAAATCTGAATCGAAATCCAACGGATTCAGATTGGAAGCTAGATCCGAGAGAAACTCTCACCAATGTTTTCGATCCCCAGGGGACACCGAGAGGGATCGGTAATCAGGTAAGTGTAGAATTTAACATGATCTACCGTTGGCATGCCGCCATCAGCAACCACGACGAGGCATGGGCAAACGGTTTCTTTGCACAAATCTTCGGACCCCAGGTCGATCCAAGTAAGTGGACCATTTTAAAAAATGTCATTCGATGCGATGCGACGGCCTACTAAACGCGGCTCCTTAGACGCCTTGTCGGTTACCCAGTTCCTCGGTCAGCTTCGAAAGTGGTTCCAAGGTCTGCCCGAGGATCCTGGTAGATGGACATTTGGCAACCTGAAGCGCCAGAAAGATGGAAGTTTTCCGGATGCGTCGCTTGTTGACCTTCTGACAAGCGGCTCAGAGAATGTAGCAGGTATCGTTTCACTGCAGCTCCTTTCCCGTCGTTTTCTTCGTTCCCAATGCTCTCTTTTAAAACCCACCCCAAACGTCTTGCATGGCCGGTCGGAGCTAATAACAGCTTTAGGGGCATATGGAGCCAGGAACATCCCCAAAGTCATGAAGGTAATAGAAATGCTTGGAATCCAGCAGGGACGCCAATGGGGGCTTGCGACCTTGAATGAATTCCGACTTTTCTTCAAGCTCAAGCCATATTCGACCTTCGGTGGGTGATTCTAGTAGCCTGCTAGCAGATTTGCGGCAAACTGACTTTGTTCGATCTAGCGGAGGTGAACTCAGATAAGTCCGTTGCGGACGCCCGTGAGTCTCTCCCACTTTTTGTTCATGAAATGATTTTCGGCAAGGTTCATTCTGCTAACATCGTGGCGTAGTGGAGGCTTTGTACGGACATCCAGACAACATTGAGCTGTACCCAGGCATCCTATCCGAAGAAGCGAAGAAACCACTGGCACCTGGATCCGGACTATGCCCAAACTTCACAACTTCGTTCACCATCTTGTCTGATGCTGTTGCCCTCGTCCGAGGGGATCGATTCTACTCTGTTGAATATAGTCCCAGTAATTTAACCAATTTCGGGTATTGTTATCCCCTGTCCAAAACAAAACTGTCAAATAACCCATTGATACTAACTTTTAACGTAGATTCGCCGCCGTCAGCTCCGACTTTGATGTCGCTCAAGGCGGCGTGATGTATAAGCTGCTCATGCAGGCATTCCCGGGCTGGTACCGCCCAAACAGCGTTTATGCTCTGTATCCCTTTACCACGGTCGACGGCAACCGTGACATCTTGCAGGAGCACGGCACTGCCACAGACTTTGATTTCAGCAAGCCCTCATTTGTCGGCCCGCCTAAGCCTGTAACCTCTTGGCAGGGAGTTGTGGATGTTCTCAACGACCAAGACAAGTACAAAGTCCCATGTGAGAAATCCACTCCATCATAGGGCCAGCGCGTCTCTTTTTGTTTGCTGGTTCCAAACGACTGACACTTTCATAGGGGGAAAGCACACATTTGAAGTGACTCACCATGACTACATGCTCAGCGGTGATTCTCCGGCGAATGCTCAGCAGAGAATCTCGGTGAAAGCGTGTCTTTACGAACCTGAGGACGCCCTTGCGGAGGTACGGCAGTTCTACGAATCTGCTACAGAAAGCCTCCTCCGCCAGCACAGCCGCAAAGTGGGCGATTCTTACCTCGTAGACATAGTGGCAGAGTAAGTTTTCATTTCCAATCAGGGCCCTAAATAGAATAAATAAACATGAACCAGGCTGATTTGTCAAATTTTTTATCAGTGTTGGGAACCTTGTGCATGCCCACTTTTCCTCCCAATTCTTTGGTATCCCACTTCAGGGCAACGCTGGTAACGGCGGCGGCATCTCGGGAGCTTATAAAGATTGGGAACTGTATGATGTGCTCGCCGACCTCTTTGGCTATGTCTTCCTAGACTTGGATCCTGCCAAGTCATGGAAACATCGCGCTGTTGCAATCAGAGAAGGGCAGCGCCTGGGGCGAGTTATGGAGATCGCTACCGCAGAAGTCAAGTCACAACGATTTACAGGTCTGAAGAGTCTGTTAGGCATGGGCAAGAGTCAGTCAGCTCTGGTTGATTACGGAGCTCAGTTTATCAACAGACTGCTTGGCGTCAGCAACGGCGTAGATGATACAGTCTGGACGATTATTCCAACGGCTGCTGCAGCTTGTGCAACTCAGGCGCAGGGGGTATGTCTAACTCTATCTTCCACCTGTGCGGGATGAGGCGCTAATTGTAGTTACAGTGGGCTCAAATGATTGATCTGTACCTGTCGGAGCAGTATTATCATCACTGGCCAGCCATCCGAGCGCTTTCTCTTTCCGATGCACCGGAAGACTTTGAGAAGCTCAAGAAATACGCTCTAGAAGGGTTTGTTTCCCCTCGTTTGTGTGACAATAGTTAGTAATATTGGTACCCTGATCAAATTCTCACTCCGTCGCAGTCTTCGTCTCTCGACACCAGCCTTTGGGGTCCTTCGCGTCGTTGATGCCACAAGCGAAGTCATCCAGGATGGTGAGAAAACGCTTGCTGTTAAGGATGGGGATACTATCTTGACGTCGTTTGTTACAGCCGGCCAAGACCCTTCAAAGTTTCCTCACCCGCAAGAGATCAAGCTGGATCGGCCAGACAACTTATACATCCACCACGGTTGGGGCCCACATGCGTGTCTGGGTCGGCCGATAGTCACGGTTGCCGCCGCCTGTGCGTTGCGTACTTGTGCCCGCTTAGTAAACTTCAGAAAGGCTCCAGGAGCTATGGGAGAGATGAGGAGCAAATCTGCCGCCGGTGGCTTCTTCAAACAGTTCTTGTCGGTGGATGGGAGTGAATGGGGACCTTTCCCCTGCAGTATGTGATAACCTAAGACTGATTGACGGGTTTCTACTAACATGATTTTGTTTAGCCAAGAAAGTTATGTTTGACGGCTTCGAGGACTGATGGCTAGTGCCGCAGTAACTCGGCTTGGTTTAGAATTAAATTGCAATTGCTCTCTGTTATTTCATCTCTGTCCCATACGACTTGTCTAACCTTTTTTTTTTCGTCTCCCGTGTGCCCATTTGTCTTGCTCCCAGAGTCCCAGGCCATGCGTTTCAGGGTTTCAGGTCAACTAGTTCGCACCAACGAGCAATGTGTACCTAGCTAGCCCCCCTGCCTTTTTAGTTTAATAGTCCGTGGCCAGTTGTCGTCAGGTACATTTGACATATCAAGAATGGATCACAGTTACAACAGAAAAATTGAAGGGGATTGATAGGGCTGCTCTCTATCACCATAGGGAAGGCACAGTTGATTAGCATCTTTCCACCATCCTGTAGACACCGGTTCCCACCTACGACCTGGAAGCGGCAGAGTTCTGGACATGTCTAGACTTGCATCAGGCAGTTCAACCGCATGATTGTGATTGTCGTGGTTGTCTAACCAATGGCCAGGCAGCAAGAGCGACGTTCAGCGTTCTTCAAATGTGCGCAGCAGATCAGGGTGTTCGATTGCTCGCTTACGACTCCCAAAACCTCACACCCTCACAACCCCCGAACTAGAACGGCGAGTAATAAACCTATATATATGCCCTATAATCCCTACTTATATGTAGGACAGACACCTCCCCTTGCCTTGGCGGCGGGTGTCCGTCCAGCCACCGGCCATACGTTGAGCGGCGACTCTACTAGGGGAAGGGTAGTGTAGTTAATAGACTTACTACTGCCTCGGTTTCTGGGAATAGAAGCTGCCCTCCTCTTGCCCATGCTACAAACTTAGCCACACCGCCATGCCCGACACTACAGCTGCATGAAACGGGCCCCTGTATGTGTTTTAAAGCTTATAGAAAACACACCCCTCTAGATACTGATCCCTTACAAGAACTGCTAACCGGCTCCCTATACGACGACATGGAGAGTGCGATGGATGTGTGGACGGCACCACACGCGGGATGGTTAGGTGATCCGCTCCGGGGAATGAATCAAGTGTAGATGTGGGATGGGACATTTTCCAATCACTGAAATAAATTACTACAGACGCATTCGCCATTTCAACGCGTACAGGTCTGTAAAACAATACAGAGAATTTGACCAAGAAGAATTAACTGGAGAGTGTGTCTATTATCACTATGTCTATGCGCGGAATATCGGGCCCAATTCCATTATACAATCTTAAGATATACGCGGGCAATCCCGGTTTAGTGAGCCTGTCTAGCTTTGATTTCGTTGGCAAACTCGCTGTCCGTCACCAGCCATGTCTCGAAATCCTTGACATCTGGGTGAATCTTCTTCACCTCTTCAATGTCGGCACCGTATCCGACATTGTAGAACCACCTAAACATGTATCCAAAGTCCTTCATAGACCACATGATCAGGTTGCAGATCAACCTGTTGGCCCAGGGCAGATCCCGACCCGTGTGCTTTTTGAAAATCTGGCTTGCCTTTTCGATAGTAAGCTCATCCCCAGCAAGAGAAATGGCACGGTTCTTATATTCCTCGGGGCTCAAGAAGGCTTTCGCAGCCATAATGCCGATATCCGGAACGGCTATCAACTGAAGAGGTTTCTCCTTTACAGCTATCCGCCAAGTCGTGGCGAAGACGCGGCCGAAAAAGTTGTTGGTAAAGTTCTCCATAAAAGCGACGGGCCGCAAGATGGTCCAGCTCATCTCTCCATTCTTTGTGCTTTCGATCAAGTGTTTCTCGATGTTGTGCTTGTGGATAAAATGGGGAATGTTGGTCGGGTTGTCGATGGATGCGCTGCCATGGCGGTCGACGGAGGAATAGATGAAGTGCTGAACGCCGGCTTTCACGGATGCATCGATCATATCCCTACCCTGGGTGAATTCGGCGTCTCCTTGTGCAAAGCCAATGGCCACCTCTCTTAAGTTAGTATTGTCCGCGATGAGAGTGGAGTGGGAGATTGATTTTGTACCTGCACAGAAAACACGCCCCAGATGGGTGCTGTCGTCGCCGCTTTGGCTGCGGCAAAGATCCCCTCCGGATCTGATAGGTTGCCCTGAACCAGCTTGACATGTGGAGACTTGGCCGCTAGTCTCCGAGCGGACCGCGAATTTACGTCCCTGGTTAGGGCGAGGATCCTAAAGCCTGCATTGTTCCTGATCAACGTGTTGATCACAGCGCCGCCTTGCTTGCCTGTGGCACCAGTTACTAGAATTGCTCGAGACATGGTGAGCGGAATAGTACCAGTGATTGTAGGCGAGTAATAACGGTAGGTAACGCCAAGAGCAATAGGGATGTTGGATGCAATGCAGAGTGATTTCAGAAATTCAATTGGGCTTTCTGGTTAGACCGCCCCGGTCGGAAGGGCCCGGCGACCGTGGCCTTATATCTCGCAATTGCGAGCGGAATTCCACAGCGTCGTGGCTTTGTTCATGACAAATGAAGAAATAGTTGCCTTGGAAAGGCACGTCCCGTCTGAACTCTGAAGGCCGATCGACGAATCAGGGCCCTGCCGGTGTCCGACCAACGCCGAAGTGGGTTCTCCCGACCGGGGTCGGCTGCCCATTCTGAGTAAAGGGGAAGAAGAGATCAACGCGAGCGCGAATGGAAGGAATCGAAATCCGATAATGGTTATTAGTAATTTTTGGAGTCATATGTTGTCTACATAAATCTGGGAGTTTATATCTTCTAAGTGATCGATGGTTCGGATGTCCCAATCAATTCAGTGCAAAAGAGAAGAACGCCGCCCATCTTCCCCAACAAAATAAAAATTTCTACAATAAAATGGCGATAACGGTTGGGTTGGCCGGTATCACCGGCAAATTTGGTACCCTGCTCGCTACCCATCTCCTCAAGAACCCCAACGTCTCTCTTCGCGGCTATGCCCGAGACACCAGCAAAGTCAGGCCGTCTATTGTCTCTTCGCCTGCAGTTCAACTCTACCAGGGCGATGCCTACAACGAAACACAGATAAAGTCCTTTGTCGATGGTTGCGATGTTGTCATCTGCGCCTACCTGGGCGACGACAAGCTCATGATAGAGGGCCAGAAACTGCTCATCGATGCTTGCGAGGGTGCTGGTGTCCCGCGTTACATTGCCGGTGACTGGTGCCTCGACTACACCAAGCTCCAACTAGGTGAACTATTCCCAAAGGACCCGATGAAACACGTCAAGGCTTATCTGGAGACCAAGAAGACGGTCAAGGGTGTCCACATCTTGGTTGGAGGGTTCGTGGACGTCGTCCTTCGCCCTTTGTTCCTATGGGATGGAAAGACCCAGACGATTCGGTATTGGGGTGATGGCTCAGAAGTGTGGGAATTCACTTCGTACGAAAACGCGGCCGAATACACTGCTGCTGTGGCTGCGGACCAGGAGGCTGTGGGTGTGGTGAGGCGTGAGTTATACGTTGACCCGTCTTCCATTTCCGCTTCACACAACGCTGATAGTGAACATGGAGTAGTTCTTGGCGACAGAAAGACTATCAAGGAAATTGCCTCCTCTTTCGAAAAGGTGTACGGTATAAGCCCCAAGCTGGAGTGTCTTGGCTCTCAAGAGCAGCTCAAGAACCGAATGGAGACGCTGCGAACACAAGACCCGCAAGACGTGTTCAAATACATATTCTGGTAAGGATCGATCCGAATCTCTTCACCGAGAATCCTACAACTAACCTTCGTACAGGTATTTCACGTATTACACGATCAACGGCTCTGCACTTGTCGGCCCCGAGGTGGATAATGCTCGTTACCCGCAGATCAAGCCGGAAACCTTGGAAGGCTATCTCAGAAAGCGACCCGTGGAACAATTGGGATCAGCCTTCGCTAGTCTTTCGTAAAAGCAGGTCTGACCTCCGGATCAGGGGATATTCTTGGAGTCTTTTCAATTTGCAAAGTTTGCGTCGTGTGATAGACCTAGGTAGACCCCTGTTAGAGTAAGACTAATTGCCTGTCCACTCTGAGTCGATGTTCGACGCCTGTGACGCAATTCCCGGATCATTAACGATTACGGGTACGCTAACGTCTCCGCGGCCTTTTGGCTGTTCCAGGAGCGTGGTACTCTGGCTAACCTCCGACGTAGGTTGGCGACAACGTCTGTATGAGAACGAAATGAACGTAGAATTCAAACTCTTGGCCAGCAACGGGACCAACAAAGAAGTGGGAGGCAACTCTCGAACCTGGCTTTCAAGTTGGCATTCATATCGAGGCCGGGGTGAAGAGTTAAGGGTTATATATACCTTGTCCATCAGGGGCGAGTGCAAGCCGTGCTGTCGCATGTCACCCCCAAGTTGGATGGCCATTGACCTAGCGACAGGATTATCTTTACCAACACGAACTATGATTCCGAGTAGGTAATTCAAGCCCTGCTCGCTCAGGAATTCTCGGCTAAGGAAAAAATCTTCGAGGAACACAATGCTAGCTACGTATGCGGCAAATATGATGAGCGGGTTGCGCAACGCCGCCTGCAGATTTGACATCATCTGGAAAACGGATACAATCTCTTTGGCTGCGGGCAGGAGGCGTTCCTGGCTTTGGGATAGAAGTAGTTCGTGCGGAGGCGGTTGGCCCGAATAGCCTAGGCCTGCCCTGTGGAGGCAGATGACGGCCGTATGGAGCATTATATTGATGAAAAGGGCGTTGTGATCCCAGGAATGCTCTGGTAACCGAAGCTCACTCGGTAAAAAGGCAAGGATAAGGGTCAATTCGTCATCAATTGCTTTATGTTGGTCCCAAAATGTGCTCATCTGGCCCCGTCCCCCGAGTTCATTAATCTGGTTAAAGCTGTGTTCGAGGACGCGATGGAAGATTTGGGCCCCAAGAACCCTTCCAGCGAAGGACGAGTACTCTGGCCAATTTCCTCGGAACGCAGCTCTCAGGTGGCCCTGTGGTTCTTCTACGCCTGTGTTGAAGGCCTTGTCGGAGGCTGGAAGGAAAGTGTGAATCTGGAGTTCCGTTAGTGCATCGACATCGTTATCTGATGGAAGTGACAGAGCCCACATCGTTCTCTAATATTAGAGCAGGCCATCCAGTCGTCGCGCTAACAAAGCGGTCAGAACAAAAGATGACCCACCAGGTCCGGCGCCGTTCTTCCATTTCGGACCAGTCTCGTGCAGGAGGAAGAGCCAGGGGTAGAAGACGGGGTTCTTGATCAAGTCTGTGAAGATCTAGCATCTGGGCGATCCGGAGACTGCGGGCAAGACTGACTGAAGCAAGGGAGAACATAGTCTGTTGTGCCTCAAAGTGGGCTAAGAGGCACCACGTCTGGGCATGTGCAAGGGTTGTAAAGTCTTCCCCGAGGCCCTGCACCCAATGTCAGCGGGGGAAAAAAATAGGGGACGAACTTCGCTGTAGCCTCACCTTCATGTGGTCTGCCTCAGCGTACGTTCTTGAGCGCCGATAAAAAGGCATGGCCAAATTGGCGTAAGCATCCGTGGCCTCGGCAGCCATAGCCATGATGATATACTGAAGACACATCGGAGGACGCATATGGGAGGGCAGATTCAAACGATGCCATGTAGCGCGCTCTATGGAGCAGTGGGGCACCGCAATAGACCTTTTCGAAGTAGATGCCAGTTCTCCCTTTTGTTAGTCAAGGCCTCATTTCTGGTGACAGAAGCGGTCGCTGAAGGCTTACAAGTTCCGCGCAAGTTCAGGCGGTGGTAGCTGCTCAAACAGGCCAAGACGGGCTAGCTCTCCACCCCCATGCGCTGGTGAGGGAGATGAGGAGACACTCGAATGATTCCCTCTCGACCTTGCAGGGGCTAATTTCATGGCGCCTGCTGTCAAGGGATCGTTCATGTTTGGAGCATCCACTGTTGCTGACCTTGCGAAGTTCTCGAGTTGGGCTACATATCCCCTATATTAGCCAAACATCTACACCTAGATGTGATGTATGACAGAGCAGGAAAACGCGACACCAACATATCCGATCTTCGAGTTCCCTCACACTTCTTCTCGCTCCAACATTCCTCCGCCTCGCGCTAGGGTACTCGCATCCTTCCCCCAGCTTGGCGCATCGACCGCAGCGAGGTTTGAATCGATCACACTTGAGCTTCCGGGCCCTGCATGCAAGGCAGGACATAGGCGCGGAAGAAGTGGTGGCGGCGACGTCGTTCCCGGCAGCGCCGTTATGTCGTTCCTCATCATTTCCCGCCATGTCGGTCGGAGATAATCAATATCAAAAGGACATTTCACTCCTCGTCGCCTCCGGCCCAAGAGTTTAGTAGCATGATTCGGAACAGCAGCTCAATGGAATTCACCACTTTGACGCTGACAAATAATTGGGAAATGATCATACAAGGCTTAACTAAGCATTTTCATGACAACACATGGACAAAGAAATCCTCTGCCGGGGGTTTAAACATTAAGTCTAAGAGATCAGATTGACCACCTAACATATTATATAACAAGTACTACACAAGTCCTCTCAAATATAAAGTATTAGAAGATATACCTATTTAACACTTAATCCAGGATATATTAGGTAATATCAATAATCTCTCACACTAACAGTTAAACCCCCAGGAGAGGTTAATATTAAATAATAAATACATCATAAAATATTAAGAATATAGAGTAGGATAAGTGGCGCACCTCTTATTTTACACAAATAAAGAATAAGCAGTTCTAGCAAGTATTAAAATTTCATACGCAGGATAGATAAGACATAGCCCAGCGGCATCTTGCCTTCGTCATTGACGGGAAACGCATCGAGTTCTATGGTGAAGAAGGACGTCATGAACGACAGCGGAAGCTACATGTAGAGATTAGGCATGGTTGATTAGCATCTCTCCACCATCCTGTAGACATCAGTTCCCACCTATGACCTGGGAGTGGTAGAGTTCTGGACATGTCGAGACTTGCATGGGGCAGTCCAACTGCATGATTGTGATTGCCATGGTTGTGATTGCCATGGTTGTCTAACCAACAGCTGGGCGGTGAGAGTGATGTTCAGCGTTCTTCAAGGTTGCGCAGCAGGGTGTTCGATTGCTCACTTACCACTGCCAAAACCTCACACCATCTCTCACGGACCCCCGAACAAGAACGGAGAGACTCTGGAGGGTAGACTCCAGAATCATGTACGAGATTGGAAATATTAAGTTCTACAATCGCCCCTGACTGCCTTGAGATGACTTTCTTCGACCTCCCAACCGAAATCCGGCTCGGGATCTATTTAGAACTCCTCGTACTCGCGGAGCCCATCGCGCTCAGAGCGGACGTCGGACCGACCTCGCCCCCATGTTTCTACCCCGAGGAATCCGCATTTACGCAAACATCCTCCGCGTCAACAAGCTGGCGTACTTTGAAGCTAGCCCGCTACTCTACTCTAAAACCCGCTTTCAATTTCCAAACGTGATGGTATCGGCCCCGCTTGACAATGACAGTGCTCACATCGCTCCATTCCTTCATCAGATTGGGCGTCAAGGAAGGCTGATTCGCCACGTTCAGATCATCTTCCCGACTCTCAATTTTACGGGAAGGAATAAGGGTGTATTGGGCTCTAATCTCAAAATTTGGCACTCCTTCGAGATGTCCGTACCAATCTCTGATTCTCGAATTATTGCTCAATACAGACTTTCACTTCCTACATCGCAACTTTCAAGCCAACTTGCGCTCAACGAGAACGGTAGATACAAATCGCCGTGGCCCTGATAGGGCTATGTCCTCAGTTTCGCACTCCCCACTCTATCCTCCACGCATTTATTTCCCAGCATTATTCAATTCTGCCACCTTGGCCAACTCTCTATTAACCTTGAAGACCCCTTCCAGTATCATGTCCTATAGACCGAGCCATTAGCGATCCGCGACCTTCAAATCATAAAAAGATGTGGTTGTCTTCCTGAACTTACAAAGACGAACTGTGGAAGCCAAGAACGTGCCCATCGGCCCATGGCGGCATCTTTTCCCACCCAAACTTCCCCGGATGTACCCTTTTCGATCTCACCCACGACTTGGATTGCATATGTTCGTGCATCGGGCGCCCCATTTTGAAGTCGACCGTCGGTAAGGCGGTCAAGGTAGTCGCGAATCACATAGTAGTGTGAAGTCTCGGGGATTTTGGGCTTATCAATGTTGTCGAAACCGCGGCTCTTGACTGGGTTCGTAATGAGGGTAATCGTTCTGATACCGAGGGGCTGGAGCTCGCGGCCCCATATTTCACTTGCCATCGTCAGGGCGGCTTTTGAGCCATTATACACGCCTGGGTTCAAAATTGATATTAGCCATTGCACTATTCATGGAGACAGCTGCTGAATGGCTGATACTGAACTTCCAAACGGCATGGGTACATATCCAGCAGCAGACGATTGATTGACGACGCATCCCCTAGCCTGGATGAGTAGGGGAGCGAAGGCCTGGAGCATAGCCATCGGAGCCCAGAAGTTGACGTCGAATATCTTGCGAGCCTCCTCTATGGAGGTGTCCAAGGCTGGCATGATGAAATTCTTGCCACTGTTGTTGACGAGGATATCGAGTCGACCGCCCGTCTTCTCCGCGACGCTATTCACGGCGTCGGCTATGGAGTCGGAGGATAACACATCGAGGGTCAGGGTCGTGACGTTCGCCGCCTTGGAAAGGGTCGAGGGGAGTTTGGATGGGCTTCGCAGAGTTGCGAAGACGTGGTAGCCCTTCTCACGGAAGACTTCGGCGAGGCCTGCGCCGAGACCTCCCGCTGAGCAGCCGGTGATGAGGACAGATTTTCCAAGGGCGGCCATTTTGGTTTCAAGACTGTCCTTTTTAGTGTACGTGGGACTGGCGTCTCGGTGGGTTGGAAATTGAAGGAGATGGTTGTCATATTACAGAACACCACTGGACAGATCCGAAAAGCTGTCTTTATACATGTGCCGAATTATAATATACACCCTGAAATCGAGCCTCTTTCGTGGCGATCAACGAGATGGCCAAGTCCTCTGCTGCTATCCTGGAATGGCATATGGTAAGGGTCTTGGCAAATCCCGGTTCTTCGGATCACGATTTCGGCTCAGACGCTATGCCTAAACCGGCAAATAGTAAAAGTCTTGGCATACGTCTTGATGCACCTTCTACTTCGTACTGCTCTTCACTCAGGACCATTATTAATTCACCTCCTCATAAACGGGAATCGCGACCCCATTGAAACGACCATCTCACACTTTCCCTTTCTGAGAAAGCAAAGAATCCTGCCAAGACATCAGAATGGACGAGTCTTCCCATCAGATGCGTTTCATACCGGCCGAGATGCCCTTCATTGTCTCATCGGACTCTGGAAAAGCTGACCAGTCTACTCGGAAGCTAATCAGAAGCCATGTCATGCGCGGAAGGAAACCCAAGCGTGCCAAAAGACGAAGTGTAGTCGGTCGAGCCTCGTCGCATCCAATCCAAAGAATCAAGGTTACGCTACACGAAGTAGTCACCATGTATACATCGCTACAGCCGCAGGGTGTTAGCACACATTTGTACTTCGTCGACTTTCCCAGCGAGATAGAGCCCTCTATTCTCATGGGCATGGCGCAAGGTCTGTCCCGCTCGCTTGACCGAGTATAACGATGACGCCTACTAACTAGACTTAGTGTCGACTGTGGCGATGCGAATCATCTTCCCTCTGCTAATGGAGATTGGGTTTCACCCAGACGGCAAGACGTGGCTGTACCCAGCCGAACGTGACGTCGCGGCGCTTCACATCAACGCTTTTGCGATACAGACATTTATCGACAGAGTGTTACGCGGACATCCTCAAGAGATGGTCAACGCATCGGCGACGTTGCATCATCAAAAGGGCCTCAAGCTTCTTCGCGAAAGACTCGGAGGGAATGACGAGGAGGCCAAAGTCTCCGATGCTACGATAAGTGTAGTCCTAAAGCTGGCAAGTGCGGCGCACTTTAATGGAGATGTCGAAGTCTCTAGACACCACGTGCAGGGTCTTCGCAGGATGGTAGATCTGCGAGGGGGGCTGGGCGTCTTTCAGGAGAACCCCAAGCTCTTGGTGGAACTTTGGAGGTAGGTAGTGCACAATTTTCCCAACCCACCTGGTTTTTATTCGTTGCTGACACCTCCGAAGATGCGACCTTGGCACTGCCTTGCTTGCCAACAAGGATCCCGTATTCTATCGCCAGGCGAATGAACCAGTGCCTGCCTATCCCGAGCTGACAATGTCGAATTTAGGCGTCCGCCCTCACGCACGAGAAAACGCGGAATTCGTGCACGGCCTCGACGAGCGCTTATCAGAGCTGTGGACGGTCGCGAGAAAGTTTTGCCTGTTAGCCAATCTGGGGACGCAGACTGGTATGCTCGTCCCGCCGGCTACGATCTACGGAACCATGACGGCAGTAATGTACCGGCTTCTCCGGATGGACTTCGCGCAATGCTCCCTCAACGAGACTGTACGGCTTGGCTTATTGGCATTCACCCACCACATATTTCTGCAATGGCAAGATGTTCGCCTTCCTCACCATCACTTTTCTGAAACTTACCGGCATCACCTTCTATGCGCCGACTTAGAGAAGATTGTGCCCTCGCGGGTTCTCCTCTGGCTTCTGATGACTGGAGCAATTTCCATGTTTCGCATTTCGGAAGAGTGGTGGTTAGCCCGTTTGTTACTGAAACACCTCGAGGAATGTCGAGTATCCAAGTGGGAAGAACTGCAGGATATCCTAAAGTCGTCAATGTGGATTCCCTTGTTGGACGAAAAGCAGGGGAAACAGTCATACGAGTTGGTTGCTGAACCATGTGTTCTTATTCCCTCCACACCTGCTGCTGCGATTTGAGAACCTACTGCGTGTTCCAAGTGCGGACTAACCCCAACAACCCTTCCCCCGGTAACAGAAGGAAACCAAGATTTTAGTGGCATGATCCAAATTCGCATCGACATCTTCGTGGGTGTCGGGCACGCCTTGCCCCACCGCTGCTCCCACCCTAAACCAGTTTTGGCCACTTTGCGTCTGTTCTGGCGGAGCCGAGCGGGTGTGCCATTACGCGGTCTCTCAGACATTTACCGTCTTCTTGAGAAACTAACACGAGAACTAGTGAAGGGCGGCGTCACTGGCATACGAATACCTCTGACGCATGCGTCAACAATAGGTCGAGTCCCCTGAATGCGGCATCGACTAAGCCGTCCGTAGATTGGTCGAAAGCGCTTATTCGGCTTGATATACATTAATGGGGAGGACGAATCTGCGATCTCCAAACAATTTCGTTCACGTCAAATATCTCTCCTTCATCATCTTGAATTTCACTCGCTCCAACCCCGTCAAATTCCACCTAGTCACCAGAGAGAGCGTGACAGCCTTTCGTTTCAATCCGACTTAGCCTACCTCGAGTCCCCGACCTTCACTTCTCGTCCTCTCAATCATTCTTTTCACCCGCGGGCTTCCCTTTCGGTACGCTGTGCAAGATGATCTCGACTAAGACCGCTCTTGTCACCCTAGCTACCCTGCTCATGCTTTGCATAGCCAACGCCCAAACAACGACCTCTTGCAACCCAACGAATACCAGTTGAGTACTCTCACATCTAGATATGCTCGATTTTCGAACTAATCCTAATACCATTCAGCCTGCCCGGCGGACAAAGCCCTCGGCACCTCCGTCGATGTGGATTTCACGAAGGGTGCCTCGGACTACTTCTCCGAGAGCGGCGACCTAGCCTATACTTCAAACGGCGCCGTGCTCACCGTTTCTAAGTCTGGAGACGCCCCCTTCCTCACCTCCGACTTCTACATCATGTTCGGCCGTGTTGACATAGCTCTCAAAGCCGCCCCCGGCAACGGAATCGTGTCATCTCTCGTCCTCCAATCTGACGATTTGGATGAGATCGACATGGAGTGGATGGGATATGACGGAGCCAACGTACAGACAATGTATTTCGATCAGGGCGTCGGTCCTAGCACTAGGCTTGGCATTGTCGCCGCTGCGGACAATCAGGGAGAATTCATCGACTACGTCATCGATTGGACAAGTGAGCGCATTACCTGGTCCGTAGGTGGCACTGTCGAGCGCACCCTCGAGGCTGGCGACGCGAGCACGTTGGAATACCCCCAGACGCCTATGCAAGTGAAGATTGGTGTGTGGTCTGCAGGTGATGAGGACACCAACGCCGAGGGAACTGTGGAGTGGGCTCATGGTCCGACGGACTATAGCGCGGGTCCGTTTAGCATGTACGTGAAGAGCATCAAGGTGACGGATTACAGCACTGGCGACGAATATGTATACGGCGACAAGAGCGGATCGTGGAAGTCCATTGAGGCCGTCAACGGTGTTATTAATGGCAACCTCGATGGCAACTCCACGGCCTCCAAGACCACAACCGAGACTACTACTTCTGCTAGATCAACTACAGCTACTGGGACCGGAAATACATCTGCCACGATCAGCTCCTCGGCAAAGACTTCGTCAACTACAGCCGAACTCTCAAGCGTCGCCGTGGCTAAGGACGCTCATTCGCTCTACTATAATATTGTTATTGGCGTTTTTGCTCCTCTTCTGCTTTTCTCTATTTAGGCCTTGGTATGGGGCAACCATTTGGATTCCTCTTTCCCGCATCAATTTTGGTTACTTTTTTATATCTACCGCGCCTGAATAATTGGATATCCTGAAAGACCCGAAGCTGTTGGAGCGGACCTTCTTCAATTATGTCAAAGACGCGTAACAACTGCGGTTCACTTCGTAGTTGGGCTAGGTAGTCCGTCAAAACTCCATTCATTGAATAAATACTGTCGACAATCTTGTCGTACCAGCCGTGGCGTCGTCCATGTTACCGTTAGATACGAAAACGCCAATATAGAGTGGAAAACCTTGATGGTGGCTGGGTGCGCCGGGTATAAACCCCGCCCTGTCGAGGAGGCATCCCCACAGGAGGAGAACCCATTAGCGACAGAACGGGGCTCCCAAAGTCCCACGCAGAATTTAACGTACATGGCGCCCATGGCCACGGCTATGACGTTGCTAATCTTTTCCCAGCGGCTCCCTCGCCGGCCCCTGAGAGATTTCCCGCCAAGTGCAGTGTTGGGGACTTGAGGCTGACGGGGTCAGCAGCATGGACGGTGACAAACTCGGCTCGAAGTCCAAAGCACATTGTTCGCATCCAGGAACTCGCTGCGCTTTTCGCGGCCACTGCTCAGTTCCTAAGGTGATGATATTGAGGGATCGCCATAACCACTGGCACCCAAGAGAATTGAAAATTGGGGCTATCCGTGAAACTCTGGGCTTCCTTATATGTTGGTTGTGCAACACCTGGGTGGCCTCCGAAACGATTCCTTTCCAGGATTGGATGTTGAATTTATTCCAGCTTAGTCAGGGCAATTGTTATTCCTGTCCTTCAAACTTCAAGGCAACAGGCTCGCGGGTTGGGGAGCCATGGCCGAACCTCCCGAAAGCGAATGCAAATAAAAAGAGACAAGAAAAGAAAAGAAGGCAGGCCTAAGACTCATACCAGTGCAATATGGCAGGGCGAAGTACCTCCCAAGCTCCCGAACTGGCGGCTCCAGTCACACTTCAGATCATGTCCGACCTCCACTTGGAAACTCCACGTTTCCTGCCGATGTATGCGGACTTCCGTATCGAGCCTCGGAGCCCCTACCTGGCTCTTCTTGGTGATATTAGCCACGCTCACGATAGGCGGCTTTTTCAGTTTCTGGAGGGCCAGCTTGAGCGGTTCGACGTTGTATTCTTCGTCATGGGGAATCACGAACCCTACGAATACGACGATGGCGCCTCGGATGAGCAACAAGACTTTACAAACTCGGCTGCTGTCTATATATTGCACGATTTTGAACGGTCAGTTTCTGACCGGAGGAGGGTCCAACTTGAGAGAAATGGCGTTTCCTCACTCGGACAGTTTGTGCTGTTGGACAAAAAGCGTTTCGATCTTTCACCGACGGTTGCGGTTCTCGGCTGTACTCTCTTCTCCCGCATTTCCGACTTGCAAAAGAGCACTACCTCCCTGTTCGTTTCCGACTTCTCCATGATTACCGGCTGGAGTGTAGACGCGCACAACGCAAGCCATAAAACAGATCTCGAGTGGCTGAACAATGAAGTGGAAACCATCTGCCACACCGAGCCAGAGCGCCGCATTGTCATCCTCACACACTACAGTCCGACAAACTTGCCGGAGGCAAACAATCCCGACCACCTTGAGGGTAATCGTGGCGTGCAGACGGCTTTTGTCACGGCCCTCGAGCAAGAAAGGTGCTGGACCAGTCCTGCCGCCAAAGTTTGGGCGTTTGGTCATACACATTTTAATTGTGATTTCGTAGCTCTCAGACAGGGAAGAGAGTCGTGGCGAATCAGAGGGGATATGGGCGGGAGGACTCTTTTAACTTTGATCCTGACAAGATCATTATTGTTGAATAATTGCAAGTTTCTAATGTTCTCGTTCACAATATATTCAAGTCTCAGTAATGCAATTCGAGCGTCGGAGAACTGGTCCTTGGATCCGCAGGACCGGCGAGCCGACTATTCCTGCCTGATAATTGGAATATTGAGGCTACAAATCTAGCCATTGGCGGGCATCGCGGTGTCACTCACCGTCGAAACTTGCACAGCGAAAAGAAGTAACTCAACTCTCGGATAGCTGAGCCTTCCCCGTTAACATGAACATGAGTCAAGCACATTTATTCAGTTTCCTCAAACCCGCACCTCTTTAAGCAAAAACTCCGTCAAGCCAGAACTGACACCGAGGATTCGCCGCCGGATCCTTCACTACCGTGAAATTGGACTCGGTTGCGTCTTGCTTTCCCACATGAAGAATTCTGGCCGTTGATCCAAAAATCGGCAACTGCCTTGCTGCGCTACCATGCCTTCCGCCCATCAGCGTGAAATCAACGATCCAACTCTTCATAGCCCCAGCCGCCAAGAAATCTATTGGCCGTCCAAAGTAATCCGTCTCTTCGCCGTCATGGAGCGAATATGACGCGTCCTGGGCATGTACGCCGGGACAGATATCGAAAAGATAACCTCTGGTCCGGTTCTCATACGCAAGGTTCATACCAAAAGCGTAGCAATCGAAAAGGCAGTCCCCGACAGCCAGGACTAATCTCTCGATGTGATTCTTGTATGGTTGTGTCCCTGAGAAGTCCAGCGGATATATCTCAGTCGCCATTATGTCAAGCTTCTCAGATGAAAGGTCTGGGAGAAGATTTGCGAAATATGCTCTAAAGGTGTCGTCGTCTTCCGTACGGGGGTCGGTAAACATAATGCCTTCGTTGCTATTATGGGCGACGAGAATATCCACTGACTGATCGATTTTATTCTGCATTAGCAGTCGGACCGGAATGTCTCGGAGGAATTCCCCGTCCACGTTGAGTTCTGTGTAGTTTTGGTTAGCTGAGACAAGACACTCACTCCCCTGCTCAACAGAAGACATACGAAAGACAGTATCTGCAAATGCAGCGTTAGAAACCATTGCCGTATTGATAGCTTGGACATCCTTCGATGGCAAGTTCCGCAACTCCTCGTAGCTTTGTAGTCCCGAAGTTTCTAAAAGATAATCGTATACAAGTTCATATTGCGAATCATTGATGATAGGTTTCATCGCGGGACTCTGGAGAATGGCCCGTTGAAACGGTGAAGACGCATCCTCTCCTCCAAAAGCGGCCAGCTGTGCCATAACACTCCCGCCGCCAGCCGATTCACCAATAACTGTCACTCGTCCTGCGTCTCCTCCAAACCGATGAATATGTTCTTGAACCCAGTCGAGAGCGAGGCGCTGGTCATAGAGTCCGGCGTTCGAGACAACATCTCTCACGCCTGCCTTCCGCGGAGGGAAGCCAAAGAGACCACTGTCGTTACAGTTAATATCATAATTAGGGAAGGGAGCCTTAGTTGAAGATCTTATCGCTGCACTTACAGGCGATAGTTGATTGTTACTACTATCATCCCGCCTTTGTCTTCCATGAGGCTGCTGGTCAGTATTCCCCCAACATTAATCGCTTCTTTCGACCACTCCGTGTAACCGCCGCCATGGATCCACACCAACACGGGTCGCTTAACATCGGCACGATGTTTCCAAACTCCCTTTGGCACATGTACGTCGAGAAGGAGACAATCCTCCGACTGGGTCAAGGTCTCAGAGCTTCCAAGAGATGCCTCCGAAACATTGCCGCAGCCGGCGACATATGCCTGGACGAGTGGTAGGGAATATTGGTAGAAACTCCCTGTAGCCTGATAGCAGATTCGTGTATTGGAGCCGTCATCAATTGTGCGATTGATTGTGGTCTTCGGGACGGGGGCCTTGAAACGACGATCTCCCAGTGGTGGCTCGGCGTAAGGTATGTTTTTAAAGGTGTAGAAACTCCCAGCTGCCTTGAATCGGTCAATGTTAAAAGGAAATCTTTGAATGCCCAGGAACATGCTAGTGGGCGCATACATTCTCAATTGCTCGGTGTCTAGAAGTTTCAAGGTCTACGACTGGTTCGCATCCTGCCCTCGCAAAAGTGAGAGTTATGCCGCTCAAAATTAGCAGCGCTGAGGTCGTTGAAACGGTAATGGGTCTCATGATTCACAAATAGCGTGCGTGTGGTGAGAGAAGAAATATGCCATCTCCACCATGACTTTTCGCAAAAAGGACAATAATAGCTTAAATCTCAAAGAAGTAATATTCTAGACAACCTATTATCGGCATTACTGTTCTTGATCTTAACTAAACCTTATTAGATCACTATCCGGCAGTACAGGATAAGCGGGAGGCTGTCTTGGCAGCTCGGTACTTGAATTTCACAGGTCCGGGCCGGGTAGCTGATTTTCTCCGGCACTAGTCGTACGGAGTAAGTGTTTTTCGCTGTTTCCCTTCAGTGTTTAGTGGTCTTCGGATGGCTCCGCGCCGAAAGCAGATTTTCGTCTTGGCAAAGATTCCTGCCTTGGCTGTGAGTCAGTTGCACATGTTTGCAGGTGGAAAGCAGAGCAGAAATATCGAGCTATACTCATGGAAACCTTGGAAGTTGAATGTCTCTCCTCACACACAACCGGACATCGCCGGTTGATATTCGAATGCGGGTTTGTGTAATTTGTAAAAAGATATTATTCTGATTTGCCAAGTGTTATGATAGCGCCGACACGTCTCCAATATGATCCTCGGGAATTACGCTTGGAACTGGGCAGCTCCCACTTTAGCCAGAGCAGGTGAACGAGCTTGTCTGTGTTTGGGCTACCCTGGGCTGTAGTAGTCGTTTCAAGTAATAATCGTACTTTTGCGATAGTTTTGGGACATGACTGCATTACCCCGTTGAAATCCTGTCCCCAACAACCTCCTAGAAATGGTATCTGGTTCTCTGAGAGATGCAAATTAGATCCGCCGGCTAACATGGAGCGGAGAGGCTATGAGGCCCCGAGACAGTCCAAAATAAACTCTTGGAATTTATTCACATGCGTTTGGAATGTTGGGTGTCAGATTAAATTTGCAGGCTATGAGAATATAATATGCGTTTCCAGGTGAGAGACGGCTATTTCTCGGTCAGAATGCCAAAAGGCAAATGAGGTTGGCAAACTCCAGGGTGCTGATTAGCAATAATTTGATGAAGGCATAATTATCAATCCGTGCTTCTAGAACCTTGAGTGGATAATGACCAAATGCGCCAGTGCAGCGGATATTTCGCCCATTAGGGCCCAAAAGAGCGTACGACGTGCGCGCTGTTTGGCCTGGCCATGACCAGATGTGAGGGTAGACGATATAAAATATGAATCGTTCCTCCTTAATCTGTATCTAGTCTCCAAGTGGGACCTTTCGTAGCGATTCCCAGGCCTCCCAAGCGGAATGGCGTTGTGATGGGATGATCATTGTTGGAAACGGAGTCGGTTCACAGAATACGACCATCAATAACGGATATCAAGCCAAATCTGCCGGGCGGTGGGTGACATTATCGAGATGCCTGCTGCACTAGGACCACCATCGCGGGCGTTTTCCCGAGAGGGCTGGTCAAAAATCCTTGAAGGCCCAAGGGTGACGCTAAGTCTTCGACGGACCGAGGGGATGGGCTCTACACCCTCGGCTATTTTACTAACTGTCACTGCGCAGTCGCAGTCCGGGCCGTTAATTATTAGCACACGTCCAAGTTGTTGTCATACGCCAGATGGGAACGACAGAATTAAAATCGCATACTCAGGATCCAAGAACTCCACAGAACCATTTTTTCTTCCACTAAGAGTGAAATCGGCGTGCACGTCTTCGCAAGAGTCATTTTTTGATAAAAAAAAAAAAAAAAAAAAAAAAAAAAAAAAAGGGTCGAGGGTTATTGTTCTCCTTCCTACCCCCCAGACACCCCTGCTCCTGTAGGCTCTTAGGTGCTCGCACTTGATCCTAAGGTCTGATCATGCATTGGCGTGGCAGCAGTGACGAGGGGGCCAGGCAAAGTGATATTACCATTTCCCAATCATCCCGCCAACCGGTTCTAGAATTATGCAACGCCTCTGACGTTTGTCGGAGAACGAATCGTGGTTGCACTCCCTGCAACTTAGATTAAATCGAAACTAATAATCCCTGTGCATTGGCCTCTCTCGATTAATCTGGAAATGCCTCAATGGGGTCATCTTGCGTGTTAGATTCTCAACCGTCACCATCAATGCGACTTGGAGGCTTTGGCGCATCGCCAGATTCACCGCAATGACGGAGGTGGAGAGTCATCGTCTTACCAAAGACAATAGAAAGGAGGAGGCCGTCCTCCTGACGAAATTGTATACCTTAGCGACTCCTCTCAGAGAGCGTAGTCTATGACATCTCAAGGGTAGACAGTGGCATGTGACGTCATCTACCGAGTAATCTACTCGAATACCAGGACCGCTGTCATAAGTGTCGATAGAATCATCAAGAGTGCTACTCCACTTTCGACATCTATGCCCGTTGTATGTCCCAAAGTCCCCCGAGAAAAGGGACATCCTGCAGATTGCTACCCTGTGGGGCGAACTGCACTACCACTACAGCTCGAAGTATTAGGATCCTAAACTACTCGTTGACCGAGAGAACCAATCCCGTGTGGAAGCATCGCTCCAGGTCGGGTACTCTATTCTCACCTGTGCCCCTTGGAAGTGGGAAAGTCTAACAGCTCCAACACCTGCGCCATAGTTCAAGCATCCGTGGAACTGGAGATTCTTCAATGGTGCACAATGACTCTGTGACTTCGCAGCCAAGAAACAGATCCGAGGCTCTCCATTTATCAAATCCGCAAATCAAAGCCAAGCCATACATGTGGGCTACAGAGAGGGGTATTGAGACCCCTTTCTTCACTGGGGATACCATGACCACGTTCACCGAAGAAATGCTGGGATGCAACAACGTTCTCAAGAGGCCTACCGCAATTGAAAGTTTGCCTCGGGTTACCAAGCTCCTGGGCTCCCTGGTCCTCCTTCTAAGGCGTCTATCGAATATATCAATTGATGCTGGCCGGGTTCGACTTCGACATCTCCGTGGCGATTGCAAGGCTGTGGCGAATGAAACGACTTTAGGTCTTCTTTAGTACGCACACCTCCCTGAACACCCCTGTTTACAATAACGCCACGACTGGCTGTCGGGTCATCCTCAGCTTCTTAGTTAGGAATAGGCTAAAGATTATCTGAACTTCCTCTACGGTCCTAGTAATAATATGCCTGATAGTGAATTATTTTTCTTTCGTTTTTGATTCTCTAGCGCTGAGGTGTGGGGTATGTTGATTGGCGAATTATAGTGCACGTAGCGTACCGCCAGGCCTTAGCGAGATCTTTGATAATAACATCAGACTCCTCCCACCTTGTCGACACCACTTTTCCCACGATTACGAAGTAAGAAGATGGAGAAGCTAGGCCAATTACTGGCATTGCAGGGGGGCCTAGGCCGTATATTATACGAAATTGTTCAGTATTGTTTGCAAGACTATAGGGGTAATCCCAATCTGGCGTGTGATGGAAGGATCCGTCTCCCCACCATTAGTGGGTCTGGTGTTTCTCCCGAAAAGGAAGGTACTTTGCAGTGACACCGGCCCCCGTTCTTATCGCCTCTATCCTCCTCTTGTCTCTGATAATGTGCCGACTTAGTCTGCCGATGCCGAGGGATTGTCATGCAGACAGAGAAAAACCAGTTGAGGCGTCTTGGAATGCGGGTTTCTTTCTAGAATACAGTAATTACCGGCTCTCCTCAGCCCAGTTTAAATCATAGCGATTACTTAATATAATCTCTATAATTAACATCTACCCCACGACCTCCTCATTTTCTCCTCACCAGGTGTAGCTTCCCCGAGAATCCTACCCCGTTTATGTAACTAGACTCGGAGGACCAAACCCCCCTTCTCCAGACACCATAACTAGTAAGATGTTAATGGACATGCAGTATTACCAGTTCCCCGCACTCTCTTGCATCGTACCACCCAACAGGTGCTGGCATACGATGGAACGGTACTACCCCACGAGCTAGCTCAGAAGAGTAGTCTACTAGTCGTTTGGAAAAACGCGATTGCTTCCTCTCTATCTCTGATCCTCTGAAACCTCCCAAGGAGTTGCTCGATTCAACGATAACTAACCGGGCAAAGCAACCCGGGCTGCGATATGAGGCCCCTTTGCCCAGACCTAAATATTGATATCCATTTGCCTTCGAAATTGGCGAGCCGGTCATAGCTCCTGTCCCCTCACTCCCTCAACTCCGTCCCTCAACCCTGAAGAGGGAATCCCCAAATTTCCCCCTCATAAATCCAAACTCGTACGTAATACCCGCTCTTACCCCAGATTCCACCTAAGGTGCTGCCCGCAACTAGAGTACTTCATAGTGTAGCGCACAATCCTCTAGAGCAGTTGTACTCATAAAGGGGCTAGCTAGCTTGAGGGTTAGCTTGGATCTAGCCTTTAGAGTAGATCCTTCAGAATTGGACTGGAGGAGACAGCATGATTTCTCCAACAGACTGCTTGCAGGAAAAGGTTGCGTCCTGGCTCCGCTTTAGCTCCACCATCCAGTGGGCATCGGCGGTCGTTTCATCCCCACAACGCCCCTCTCATGCCGCATTGCCGAATGTGATTTGCCCCGAACCAGCAGGGGAACCCCAGTCTCCAGTCTGTTGGGCACCACATCGAGCATGGATTGCGCGAGACCGATGTCCAGGAAGAGGCTGATAACGCTGGGTCGGCCTAATCCTAGAGAAGAAATCTAATGTGGCTATCATCCCCACGTAAGGTCGGCCCACCGGGTTTGGAGCCAGTTCAGATAGATAGCTACGCGGAACTTGGAATCCTGATTCCAGGGTGCCACGCGTGATAAGATGTCCCCCTCTTCCTGTATCTTTATCCCGTTTGTTCCCTCAGTTGTCCTCTTCCCTTTTCCTCGCTCTCTTGCTCTCCGGCCACCGATCCCAGTTTCGCTATTACTTTCCTAATCTCACCATCTTTATGTCGTAGATGGTAGAGATATTTCGGGTCATCATCATTGCAAACTCTCTCACAATACCCCCCTCACAGGCGGTCTTGATGTACCGTCCCATACTTTCCTCGTCTTGAGTCCCGCCATTTATTCCGGCCTTCCCCTTCCACTCCCGAGGGGCCTCACAATATCTTTCCTGTCTCTTCCCCGTCCGTCCCCCCCAGTCCTCTTTCAACATGGGTGTTGAGGGCATTGAGGTCAAGGGTTACGATGGTCCTGACACTGCGGAGGGCGTGATTCTCGAAAAGCACGCCGCCCAGGTAGAGGCCAAGTACGGCCAGACTGTTCGAGGTCTCGCCCCCCGCCATGTCCAGCTCATTGCTATCGGAGGTGCCATCGGTACTGGCCTGTTCGTCGGCATCGGTGGTGTCCTCTCCAAAGCTGGTCCTCTGTCTTTGATTCTGGGTTACCTTGGCTGGGGCATGTTCTTCGTGTGGCCTACTAACCTGTGTGTCGCCGAGATGTGCTCATACCTCCCTATCCGTGGATCTATCTTCGAACTGGCCGGCCGCTTTGTTGACCCTGCTCTGGGTTTCGCCATGGGCTGGACGTACTTCTATACCGGTGTGATGCTTGTGTGTGTCGAGTACAGTGCCGTTGCCACGCTCATGCAATTCTGGGTGGACGGCGTTAACCCCGCAGCTTGGATTGTCATGGGAATGGTCATATGCATTACCCTCAACGTGGTGGCTGTCAAGTAAGCAACCTGGCAGACTCTCATTTCAGTCAAGGTCTAACTAACGTATACTCTAAGGTGGTATGGTGAATCTGAGTTCATCATGGCTTCGCTCAAGATCCTACTGCTCTTCGGCCTCCTGATGCTCACTCTCATCACCATGTGCGGTGGCAACCCTAAGCATGATGCCTATGGCTTCCGCTCCTGGGGAGAGGGCAGGGCTATGCTCAGCTACCACTCGGAGGGTGCAACTGGCCGCTTCCTCGGCTGGTGGAAAGTCATGATCTACGCTGCCTTCACCATCACTGGCCCTGACATGATCGCCTTGTCTGCTAGTGAGATTCAGAACCCTCGCCGCACCATTCCCCGTGTCGCCAAGCTCATCTTCTATCGTCTCGTCGGCTTCTACGTTCTCGGCGTCTTGGGTGTCGGCATCATCTGCGCTAGCAACGACCCGACTTTGAAGGATGCCCTCGTGAATGGCGCGCCTGGTGCTGCTGCCTCTCCTTGGGTCATCGGTATTAAGAACCTGAATATCAAGTTCCTCCCTCACTTGATCAATGCTCTCGTCTTGACCTCTGGTCTGTCATGCGGCAACGCTTACCTATATGCCTCCTCGCGTACCCTTTATGGCCTTGCCCGAGGTACGTTCCCCCTTCCCCCATCCTGTACCGCCTGAACACCGAATTGAAGCTAACAACCATACACAGATGGCCAAGCCCCAAAATTCTTGATGAAGTGTACCAAGGCCGGTGTCCCCATTTACTGCGTTGCCGTCGTCTCCCTCCTAAGCTGCATTACCTTCCTCGTTTCGTCCACCTCTGCCATTGAGGTCTTCTACTGGTTTGTTGACCTCACCACGACTGGGTTCATCGCCACCTACACCATGATGATCATTACCTTCCTCGGCTGGTACCGCGCCCGCGTCAAGCAGGTTTTGGAGGTCGCCCACCTCCATTACGTTGCTCCCTATTCTCCATATGGGGCGTATATGGCACTAGTCCTCGGCGTCCTCGCCCTCCTCTTCTGTGGATTCGACCAGTTCGCCCCCTTCCATGTTCAAGGCTTTATCACCAACTACTTCTGTTTGCCCTATAGCATCGGCGCCTTCACGCTGTGGAAGCTCGTCAAGAGGACAAGGTTTGTGAGGCCGGAAGAAGCGGATCTCATATCTGGTAAGAAGGAAATTGACGATGAGTGCCGTATCTGGGAAGAAGGTGGCATCGAGGAGAACTGGAGGAGAAAGCTTGCGGCCATGCCGTTCTGGCAGCGTCTTTGGGAGAGAATGTGGTAAATTGCGCCTTCGTAGCTAAGTCTAGTCGCCTAGATTTAGTTGGCGTTCGTTCTAGATTGCGCTCTCCTGTTCACTTATACTTGGTAAATCACTCACAACAATTAAGTTCCTCATTACTGTATGTCTCAGTGAACCACTGCCTCGGGTAGTAGGAAACTCTACTGTTTGCTAGGCTGAATCATGGTATCAACAGAATGCGGGGCGGAAGCAGCCTCACACCTGAGAGAAGCAGAAGAGACGAGATTATAAAATCGCCCAAAGGACATTGAATACGCTGCTTGATCCTACCCTTTTCATGTAATCCGGCGCGCCCAACCTTTTTTTTTTTTTTTTTTTTTTTAACTAAACTAAAATAAAACACTCCCTTGTCATCATATCACACCATTTTCCCGCTTTGGAAAGGGACATGCGTTCTCCTCTGCGTAGTCCTTATATCTATCTAGCAAGTCAGTCCAACCCAACGCCCGCCCTTCATGTGTAGTCCTCTGAGGCCGGAATGCGAAGTGCGCCGCTATCGCTGTTCCATCAACCACGACATGGCGGCCAACTTGCTTCGGTCGTATGCAGGTGAGATATTCCTCATCATCAGGCTGTGGAAACGGGAAAACGTCCATGACATCGCGACCCCGAATCGCGAAGAAGTTAATGGAAAGTCGTTCGTACGCGTAGTCCCAAATATTGAACCGATACATGTCCGTCTCGTTTTTCTCAAGGCGAGAGAGGAACGAGCAGTGTGTCTGGGCGGCAGCTGCCCAATTCATAAGTCCGGGGCCGAACGCGTCGTATGTGAGGGTGGAAGCGGGGGATGCGGAAATGTCTATGGTCTCTCCGGCTGTCCTAGGGCGCACAGGGAGCCAGCGATGCTTTCTGAATGGGGCAGGGGATGACCCATTCTTTCGGAAATTCCGATGGCCATCTGGCGGTCCATCAAACGAAGGGAGCATGGAGGTACGCCATGTCACACCTGGAGGGGTGACAGGAGGAGTCATTTCCTACACGAGTGGCCGGATAATGTGAGTATAATTAGACGTAGATATGAGAAGGCAACGCAGAGCCTCAGAGAAGCGAAAATTCCAGGGGGCCAGAATCGTAGAAAGGAAGGCTTACTGGCCAGAAGGGCTCGTAGACGCCAAGCCCGTAATGTACCCAGGAGAGGGCCGGGTTGTTGACTACGTTGGCCGAAACGGCAAAGTATTGGGGATTCTCATCAAGCCTTTTGACCAGGGCGGGAATGGCTCCATCCTCAATAAAGACCTGTTGATGAGCCGTGGTAGATTCAATGTCAGCTCCTGCCCTATAGGTATATGAACTCCATTGTCCCCAGGACTTGCATGGGATTTGATTCCGCTCTTGATTTTGTTCGTTGATCGAATTTCTTCCCCCAGAGGGATTCCCAAAACTCACCACGTCGTCATCAATCTTGATGTAAATGGCGTCGGGGTTCTTAACGGGCTCCCAGCTACCCACATAGGCCTTGTATCCCACGCCGGGAACATATTTCGAGTATCTGGGATTCGAGGCGATGAGCTCGTCGAGATAGGCAAGATCGGCGGAGACCCCTGTACGCGTAGAAAAGATAACCCTGTCAAGGATACCGCCGTTTTCTCTCATATTCCTCTGGGAGTGTCATGGAGGTTAGTGATATCGGACCAAGACATTTACACCATTGTGGGTCGGATAATGAGCATGGATAGAGAAGGGAATCAGAAACCTTCAGGTAGCAATCCAGTATTCTCACAAAGTCTCGTCGGCCATAAAACACGACCCCAATCACCTCCCTCTGTCCTACAACAGAAGGCGATGGGGCTGTCTCGGGAACTGCCTCATCTTCTTTATAGGGGCGTGATACACTGGCTGCCGCATCATCGAGTGTCCACAGTCGTGATACGGCCCAGATGATGCTGATAGATATGAATGCAAGAACAGGAACACAGATCGCACGAGGACTCTTGGTGATCATTGGGAGCTGTGCGGTGGTGACTTCTCCAGATTCCCAGTAGCCTCGGGCAATCGGAGTGGGGGGAGGGGGGAAATGATGGCATGTGGCCACTTTGACAACCCAGGAGAAAGAATACGAGAATAGATGCGGAAACAGTAGCGAGTCCTATGCCTTACTTGGATTCTTCGGCCATTGGAGATTAGGAATAGGAATACCCTGCTACGGGAAGAGTCTTGGCAAAAGTCATCTTTCTACTAAGGAAGAATACTGCAACTAAGGGAATTGGCTGACAGTGAAAGGATGGGGAGAAAGTACAAGACACATATCTGCCAAAAATGGCTTCAAAAAGTGGAGGGTTAAATTCGACTTTTAAATCATGCGCAAGTCAATTGAGCCATTATGTTTCGCGATCGTAGCCAAGATGAAGATCTCATCCCGGCTGTATCTTTGTGTTGTCTACATGAGACGAGGATTTCTTGGAGCTCGTATTTTTTCCCCTTGGCATTAAGATCTGACCACGGTTGAACCAGCCAAGCTCCTGCCTTTCTCATTCTCCTCATGCACAGAACGATTATTTGGTTGGGAGACGCAAGTCGGGTGGCGATCTGACACTGGGGCCGACAGCTACCCAAGAGAACATTCTTCCTTGTTTTGCATTTTGCATTCATATTCCCACGCCAAGGTTAAGCTCAGTTTCTTGTAAACTCCCTGAATAGTCTGCTGGTAGTGGCTATTGACAGAGGAACGCAAGCGGATATTGCCCAAGACGGGATTTGTAGACACTTATTTATATAATCCTCACTCTCTCCTTCTGCATTTTCCCCTTCATTTCCCTGAGAATTGCCATCGCCTTGTCTACTTCTCTCCTATCAAGCCCAGTGCACTTGAGCACAAGGAGGTCTAATCTCGTCCAGCTATCTTCGCCGATAACTTCTAGGAGTATTAAGAAGCACATTCGATCAACTTCCTTACTCTTTTCACACCACTTGAGGAGCATGAATAAGCCCACATGCTGTGCACCTGCATTCTTGTCGTGACTGTTGGCGACAGGACTTTGCAGGAGTGGTGCTATCTCTGCCATCAAATTTGGATAAGCTGATGGTGACTGCGGTGCTTTGAGGGAGTCGATGGTGTTCAGACGGAGCAGGGGGCCGTGGAGAGTGATGCTGCCTCCGCTAACGGCGCCGAACGGATCCTGATGGACGAGCTGGATATCGATGTCAAGAATTTTAGCGAAAGGAGTGACGACTTCGTACTGGGACTCGGGACCGAATGAGACGCACCCTCCACTGCGGCCTGCCCAGCTCCAGGATGGCGCAAGATACTTCTGAGGGGCGCAAATTTGACTTCCTAACTGTCCGGATGACAGCCTCTTGTGCCCAGGGGTTCGTGTCTGTAATGCGGGACTCATTAGATCCGCAGCTGCATTGGGCCCTGGATATTTAATGAGGAAACACTCCTTACCCAACACAGACCACGAAGTAGATCCTCCTTCCAAAGGCCCGCAACATATGTATCGCCTGTGGCACGATGAAACTCATTCGCTAGCCCCGACAGCGCCGGAAGCGTATCAGTAGCCACTGTCAGCGACCGGCAAGAATAATTCTCAACGATTTTAACGCACAAGTCAAAAATGCGACATCCCTGCTGGCGACGCAGGAGGCTTGAAGTTTCCCTGTATCGTCAGTGGGCCACCAGGGCTCTATATCGAAGGGTATCGAAGTCACGGGCGCGGAAAATTGTGGTGGGCGACGGGAGGGGAACGAGCATCGCGACGGGGAGATCCAGTTCTTTGAGAAACGAAATTAACCTGCGGCGCCAGTTCGGAACTATGTTGCCCCGGACGATACGCATGTATTCCTTGCTGCGGTACATTTCCGTGATGCAAATGCGCCGCCCTGACTCCTCTACGCTGCGTGATATTAGCGGGTGCGGACTTGACCAACTCTAACAATATTACACACCGTGGTACTTCTGCTGAGCTTTCTGGTCGCGCCTCTGGAGGTAGGAAAAGGATGACGACAGTCAGAGGTACTCTAGACACGTCCTAAAATCTAACGAACTTTCGCTAAGATCGATATTGACAACATCGCTACGATTGCCCTTCCAAACGCGCTCGATGAACAGTTAAAGAGCTGTTGGCTTCTATAACGAAGATCCACGAGGAGTGAACAGAATTGACAATAACTACGTAGAGGCTATCAGTTCTTCTGAAAGCGGGTTGAAGAGCACTGGAATAGCGACGGACGCTTGCATAGGTCGAGGCCAACCCCATATTATAGCCGACCTTCGTCGAGCGTTCTTGACTATCACTGTACTCGCAGAAGTTCCTTCATAGATCGTTTCTATGAGCTTCAACATGCCCCTACCGACCAGGATTTACGCTCGGCGTTGGAGGGGAGGAGCTAGGCCTCATTTCCGTGTTTATACCTACAAGACGATCGCCGGAATAGCAGGCAGAAAGATGTTGAAAATGGAAGCAGAAGGATTTATCTAGTAGCAAGCTGTGTGTATTAACAGGCCAGTACCGGCTACGTAATACAGACATCTCGCACTTTGGGTCTGACGACGTGAAACCTGCCGTTTCTAGACTGAGATCCCATTGGTAGCTACTATTAATAAGTCTTTCCAATATGCCGTCTGCTATCATGTGGCCATAGGGTTGACTAAGTACTTGGTTGTTGGGGGGGGCTTTCTACTGGAAAGGGAGTGAAGAGCGCTATTTCTACAGTAGGGCTCTCTACTAGTAGCTCAGAAAAGACCAAGGGGTTTGTCTTGTCATAAATCTACAACTGGCGGGCTTGTGGGGTCGAGCTCTGGGCGGGGGAAGGCTAAATTTGAGCTTGTCTTGAACTTGGTGTGTAGAGGCTTTTATCATTTCTGCCTACAGATAAGTTATTCTGTACTACACTCTCTGAAATCTACAGCTAGGAGCAAAATCAGTTCCCTCTGTGTCGAACTCTAAAACTACGTTTTGAATGCACCAACCACAGACTGTATATTTGTATCTAATATACACATTGCACTTCACTATCAGGCCTCCATTAATGGCGCTAAACTCGCGCTCTCTACTCAGGGCTACCCGGAAGTTTCGAGAGCCGTCCTGGCTGATAGCCTCGAGTCCAACCTCGTGCCCAGGTCCTTCGAGTTCGATAGTCCACTCTACTCTAACCGGACAGATCCACTTATTCGTCGTCTCCACCAGCCCATTCCATATACCTATCAGAATTCTCAAATCGGAGCTCAAAGCCTTCTCTGGCAAGTCGCTTCTTCATAACCAATCCAACCGCTCCCTCCTCGTCCTTGTTCAGCT